ACCGCACCTGCCACACTTTTTAAGTGTAAACCTGTAAATTTCTCTCCACTGAGCTTCCAAAGGAGCAAAAACAAATAGAATACTCAAACGTTGACGGCGTGAAGGTGCCAAGGGATACCAATAAGACCTGAAAATGACACTCGGCCTTGAATTTTGAGAAAATACCGTCCTACACACAAACCTAGCATGATGTTCCGATCCAATTTCTACTTGTTCCTTTCAAGAAGTATGAAATATACTACTTACCAGTTCGGCTGAACGTTGTGCTGTCTTCCAAACAGTTCTAGAAATACTCAAAAGTAAATAGTAAAACTACTTTACTACTTAACTACTTAACAGTGCTATTTCTGACACGTATTCCAATTTCCTCGACCAATCGGTGCTCCAAAATTCGCACGTGATCTACTAGTAAGGTCTTGATTGGCCAAGAAACAGAGAAGCCAACGATAGATAGTAGGTCTCTGTATTTTCTGAACTGAAGCTATGAACCGTTCATACACACATGCAAGCAAGAACTGCTCTTACCTATTTTCCTTGTGCCTGGTGCAAGCCTTCCAATCACTCCATAGATTTCATCTGGTTTGTGACTTGTCTGTCTTACCTAGGAGGAAAGATTACTCAGTAGTAAGTAGTAAGCTGCACTAAAAATGTTTGCAGGAATTTTATTTCAGATTCCAAGGATTTTGCCTCTTTTACTAGAAAATAACGAGAACTCCGTGTGGACCTGATTTTGCTTCTTGGGATTAACAACTCAAGGAAGTGCATACGTCTCGCGTTTTTCGTCAGTTCTATTATAAATTCTGTGGTGGGTGTGGAATTCATATGCGCAAAGCGATGTCATAGAGAGAATAAGAGGAAGAGAAAAGTGAACTTGGTGCTCGTTTCCAACCTTTTTCCTCTTGTTCGTTTATGTTACTTAAGGACGGTGTCTACTAAATACAGAGGTTTTTACGCCAGATTAGGACCATGCGGAAAAAGTAAATCTTTGCAAGGGCTATTGGAATCCACAAAGAAAAATGGGGTAGCCGAGCATTTTTTCGAGATAATTANGTAAACCTGTAAATTTCTCTCCACTGAGCTTCCAAAAGAGCAAAAACAAATAGAATACTCAAACGTTGACGGTGTGAAGGTGCCAAGGGATACCAATAAGACCTGAAAATGACCCTCGGCCTTGAATTTTGAGAAAATACCGTCCTACACAGAAACCTAGCATGATGTTCCGATCCAATTTCTACTTTTTCCTTTCAAGAGGTATGAAAAATACTACTTACCAGTTCGGTTGAACGTTGTGCTGTCTTTCAAACAGTTCTAGAAATACTCAAAAGTTAATAGTAAAACATTGTCTACTTTACTACTTAACAGTGTTATTTCTGACACGTATTCCAATTTCCTCGACCAATCGGTGCTCCAAGATGCGCACGTGATCTACTAGTAAGCGCTTGATTGGCCAAGAAACAGAGAAGCCAACGATAGATAGTAGGTCTTCGTATTTTCTGAACTGAAGCTATTAACTGTTCATACACACATGTAAGCAAGAACTGCTCTCACCTATTTTCCTTGTGCCTGGTGCAAGCCTTTCAATCACTCCATAGATTTCATCTGGTTTGCGACTTGTCTGTCTCACCTAGGAGGAAAAATTAATTAATAGTAAGTAGTAAGCTGCACTAAAAATGTTTGTAGGAAATTTTTTCAGATTCCAAGGATTTTGCCCCTTTTACTAGAAAATAACGACAACTCCGTGTGGACCTGATTTTGCTTCTTGGGATTAACAACTCAAGGAAGTGCGTACGTCCCGCGTTTTTGGTCAGTTCTATTGTAAATTCTGTGGTGGGTGTGGAATTCATATGCGCAAAGCGATATCATAGAGAGAATAAGAGGAAGAGAAAAGTGAACTTGGTGCTCGTTTCCAACCTTTTTCCTCTTGTTCATTTATGGTTACTTAAGGACGGTGCCTACTAAATACAGAGATTTTTACGCCAGATTAGGACCATGCGGAAAAAGTAAATCTTTGCAAGGGCTACTGGAATCCACAAAGAAAAATGGGGAGTTGCCAAGCATTTTTTCGAGATAATTAGCCTTGAATCAAAGCAAAAATGCTGACATCAGCATTTTTCTGAAAAAAAGAAGGGAAGGATATTTCTTTACAAATTTCCTTAGAATTCGCCTTTACATACAGAAAAGCAAACGAATTTATAAAGATCTTAAAAAAACTACTTGGTAAAAGGTAGCATAAAAACCATGTTGTATATGTTTTTAATAACAAACTCGTTGCAACAGCACTTTTAGCGTCTCTGACAGCCTTCCTCTGGTTCAGCTAAAATACAGTCTAAATAAGTTTTTCTAACTAACTCCATGCTCCATGTTTGATGTTACCGAAGTGCGCTTGCAGTGTAAATTGCGCACGCGCTGATAGGGTAACTTCCAATATATATCGGGCGCACTTCCGGTTTCTTTAAATGCTAAAGGAAACGCGGTTTTTCA